GGCTATGGTCACACAGCTAACACGCGGATCAAACTGAGATCACATTCCAGCAGATGAACTGAAACTGAGTCTTAAGCACTCAGTGTGACTACCACAATAATTGTTTTACTTTCTTTGAGTTCCATGTGTTTAGCTGTGAGAGAAAAGGTCACTATCAGTAGGGGCTCGAAGTTCCTATGTTCCTGTCCTGGTTGTCTGTGGCTGGAATTAGAGCAACTATGGTCACCAGAAAAGGCCCCCTAGTTATACACAGAAAAACAAAACCACATCTCTCCACCAAGGTGACTGCTTATAGCAACATTTAAGGCTTATTTCTAAAACAACAACTAACAAAATAAACATAAAAGCTACAATTCAACACCTTTTTCAGAAATCCTTGGCCATTATTAAATAGGTTCTAGAAAATTCCTTCATCTCATGCATAGTCACTAAGCAGAGCAATCCTCTGTAATTTATCCATCTTAAATTGATTAATCATAAGACATCTTCCTCAGCAGTTCCCACTTTGGCCCTGGGCCCACACACACAGATGCAGTCTCATCTTTCCCATGGCCAATGTCTTCATAACCTCCCAACATGGCAGTACTTCCAAGTGGCCACAAAGACCTGAGTTCACTTTCTGCCTGAAGCTCCTACCCCACAAACACATTAGAATCCGAGAAGAAAACCAGTAAAATTAAACTGCTGTGAAAAGATGCTGATTTAAGCAAAATCCATAACTCCTTTGGAAGTCAGAATGATTCTTCACTGTCACTTTAGCTAACAAGATCCCCACCTCTCCTGATCAGTACCTTAGCATCGTTTATGAACTGAAATTTTCATTCACTTTTCTTCAATAACTATGACTTTATAGCCTACTTTTACTAGGAATCTGGGAGTTATAAAACATCTATCTACACCTAAAAGAGCAAGCATTGCTTCCAGAACATTCATCAACTAGAGAGAGAAAGAGAGAGAGAGAGAGAGAGAGAGAGAGAGAGAGAGAGAGAGAGAGAGAGAGAATGACAAATCTAAGCACTCTCCCATAGACTTATTTATGTGAGATAAGGAGAGGTGGGCCATTCTGTTCATTAAAGGACAGAACTTTTTTTTAAAATATTTGTTCACATCCCTGTGAAATAACATAGTATGAGGGAAACGGCTGGAGCGCTGGACTTTGTCCATTGTGAGCTTGAATCTTGAGCATTAATTAAGGCCTTGGGCTTCTGCTCCCCCATCTGTCAAATGGGAGTCATATTATCATCTGTGAGCAAAGAGGACAGTTATCATTAACCACAGGGAAATGGTGACAGCAATATAATTGAAATGCATTTATACAAAATACTATATCTAACCCATGATTTGGAGAGAGAGAGAAAGAACAATGAATGGGAACAAGTTACAACAAACCTATTTGGATGCTTCTAAAAGGTTCTAAGAGCCTAGAGAGATAGAACTTGATCTGCAAGGATCCATGTGGAGAAGCCTGGTGTGATTGTGTGTACTTGTAATACAGTGCTGGGGAGGTGAAGCCAGGTGGATCCTTGGGGCTTGCTGGCCAGCTGAACTAGCTAATTCGATGAGTTCCAGGCCAATGAAAGATGCTGTCCTCAAAAATCAAAGTGGATGCTTCCTGAATAATGATACCTGAGATTGAATTCTGATCTACACACCACCACCACCACCACCCCCACACAAGCACACACACACACACACACACACACACACACACACACACACACACACGCACACACAGAGGCTCAAAGTGGTTAAAAAATGGAGACATATGAGCAGGAGCATTAGAATTAGATGATGTTCATTCATTTGTTCTTGGTTGAGTTGCTCACCATCTAAGTGAAGTATTTCATTTCCTGCATCTCAGTTTCCTCTCCTGCAAATGACACAGCACCCTGCCCTCCGCCTGCCTTTTTTATCTCTCTGAACTGTTAGTGGATTGATATAAGAATGAAACGCCTTTTGTAAAGCTGATAGTGCAGGCTGACTGCAGGTGGGCTTAACATGGACAATGTTATCCCAGGCAGCGAAGCCCACCCAGGTCCAAACACCTGGGGTTGGGAGTGTTAATCTTCATGTACAGCTTGGATGACAGTGTTTATGCAGAGAAGGCTGAAGCAAAGCAGGGCATGAGGCACGTGATGAGAGAGCAACGCTTCCATATGTCTTTAAAGGTGTGCATTGTGCCCGCTTAGGAAACGATCTTGCACGCACAACTAGAAGAAGGTGAGACACAGTTCTGGAGATTTTATTGCAAACAATGAAAAGTATCCATAGAGGTGTGGAGGGAAGGAGCAAGCAGTGGAGGCAGGGGATTTGGAGTTTGGAGTCTAGAGTTTACCATGGGGTTTCCACTTCTCGTTATTAGACCTAATATTTCAAGGTTTAGCATGTGCAGGAGAATAATGTGCCACTGACCACAGTCTAAAACCTCCAAATATTATTTGCAAAGTGTCTAGGCTCCTCTGTCTCAGGCCTGTCTGGTGCTTTGAGAGAGAAATCAGGCTCTTTTCCTTGTGTGCAAAGGGCCAGCAGTCTCCACGGAAGATTGCTGTTTTTAGAACTGATGATAAATGTGTGTGAGGAATCCCATTAAGCTGGGAATTCCTTTGAAATTCGCATTTCTCTTTCTCTCAGTTGTCCATAGATAGATTTTGGCCACATTTGGGTATGAAAGCTCTTCAGCCTGACTCCCCCTTGAGAGTCATGTTCTTTTTTGAAAGGAGCTTTTTTAAAAAGTGAAGGCTGTTTTTTCACTCAGAATAAGAATATTCTCCAGCAGTGAGGGTATTGAAGTAACAGGATCCATATGTTGAGGCCGACAGCTAATGCTGAGCATATGGGCCAGTGCACTTGGCAGACAGAAGTATGCCTCTGCTTTTAGACAATGCCCTGGAAACTCCACCAAAGGAATATTGCTCAGGTGAGTCATGGTGGAGGCACAGCTCCTGGACTTCAAAGTACCATCCATTCCATGAAGTGTGAGCCACCAAAAGCAATGAAAGAGGTTCTGGTTGTCCTTCAAATTCATAGCTCTGGCCTGTAGCCTTCTCTATTAAAGCCCCAAGCTATCAGAATAGCAGAGGGGCTTAACCCTGGGCTTTCTATACTCCCTAAGAAATGGCCATGCTAAGCATACCCAGATGTTTTCTAACATTCAGTGGGAACATCTTTCCTCATCACAAAGATCATACTGCCAAGTGAGCAAGAACTTACCTGAGAGCCAGGAGGCCTGGGCTCCACAACATGGGCCTGTAACTCTAAATGACTGTAAGGAAACAACACTTCATGGCTCCTCCCTGTCTGGAAAGTGAAGAGGCAGGTCAGGGTGACCTCTGAGACCCCTTCCAGATGTCCCAGTATGGAATTGAGCAGCACCTATGTCCACTAGAGAGGTTGAGGAAAGCAACCCCAGCTGGTTGCCTCTGGACCAGTGGACTTGGCCCTGGCCACTCTCATGTCCCAGTGCAGCTGTTTGTGCCGAAGGCTGTGTACAGAAAGGTGGAGGTTGGGGAGGACAAGGTCTTGGGTAAGAATTAAGCCTTGACCCCCAGACTGGTTGGCAACAGCAAAGTGGAGGTGATATCACTCCCTAGATTATTTCACTATTTCCTCCAGTCCAGCATTTGAATGTGCCCAATCCCAGCCTCTCATCATAGAGGAGAGCTCAGCCCCCTCCCCTCCTTGACCCTGTACCCTTTTCCTTACCCCTTTCCTCCTTCCATTTTTTTTTCTCTCCATGCTGGCTCCACTTCACCCCTTTCCCCCTAAAGCCTCTGCTGAATTTCTCAGGACCTGCCTTGTCTGTCAGTGGGATGGTTAGGAAAGCTTTCCCCCCGACTACTCTGCTCCCCCCCCCCAACCCTGTGCATTCCCTTTCCAGCCCCAGGCAGGCCCTTTGATCCCTGTATTCTGCTGAGCACAACTGTGGTCTCTTGTCTCATGAGCCCATACTCAGAGCTGCTGCACCAACCCTGCCTGCAAGCTGGTCACCATGGCAACGTGCTTTCCCTCCATTATACTGTGAACAGAAAATGGCTGTTGGAAGGAAGAGCTCAGAGTCTCTATGACCCAGCCTGTTTGTTGTTGTTGTTGTTGTTGTTTTTTTTTGGGGGGGGTAAGTTGGTGGGGGGGGTTCTTGCTTCGTAATGGCTCTGAGGCACTCTCTCGATAGAACCCAATGTGTACTAGCCTTCCCTTTTCAGATTTACTTAAAGAGAGCAGAGGCAAAAGGAAGTTGATTTCAAATGAATAAAGCATTCCGTTTTCCTATGCTAAAACTGAGTTTTCATGAACAGTTGTTATCTGCTCTAAGGAGATAAACGAGGCGCAGAGTGAAGCGGGCATTGGTGAGATCCAGTGTTATGTATTTTTTCTTATCAGTGCCATGGGGAGACTGAGTGTATGGATATTCAAATAGAAATTCAAGAAAAGTAGCCAAGAGATGCAAAGACTTCCACAAAACGCACTGTGGGATTTCAGGCCCACAGCAGACTGACTGGCGTGCTGATATTATTTCTAGCTCTGGGGATGTGCGTGATGGTTTTATGTTGTTGCAGGGTAAGGTGGACTCTCATCAGCATCCCTGATGATTCACAGTGATCAAGCATGGTAGCATAGGCAAGCTATCCCTACACATAGTTCTGGGGTGACAAACTGACTGCTCTTAACAGCCTAGAGACACTGCAGACTGACACCCAAAAGGAACTGGCTAGCTGGCTCTTTCTGTAAATACAAAGCATACTTGTTTAGTCAGTCCCCCAGGGGACCCCTTGCACTCTGACAGCAGACAGCAGTGCCATGTAGGAGTGGTCTGTGCTGCATCTACTTCTGGCTACAGTGTGAAGTCACTTTGATAGTCCCAAGTTCTCAGAAGCCAAATAAACCTTGTAGCCTTTTTTAAGCTAAGTTTGAAAAAAAAATCCATTTTTGAATGAAAGCTCTGGAGTTTGATATCAAAATTTTAAAGGTGTGTTTGATCTCAACTTTTTCTTTTTCTTTTCCAGTTTCCCTGCAAGTGGATATTGTTCCCAGCCAAGGAGAAATCAGCGTTGGAGAGTCCAAATTCTTCCTGTGTCAAGGCAAGTGTCCCGGGTCCCATCACATCCCAAAGCTTGCCTCCAAAACCTATTGCTCAAGAGTGGAAGCTGGGAGTGCTAGGCCTAGAATTGTGACCACTGCTCTCCTCTTGGTGAGCAGTATAACCACTGAGACCATTCTCAGAGACTTTCTCCTCATAGTGACGTGCTATCTATATTTCTGCTTGACACTGGAGCATCTCAAAGGGGTTTGTAGGAAAACCAGCACATACCCTAGAGGGTGAATCATCTCAGGTCTTATATCTTATCTACAGGCACAGTTCTGGAATGCAGCATGAACTTAGAAAGAATGTCTCCATAGATCAGGTTAAGGTTCATTTCTTAGAATAACCTCAAAAATCCAAGGTTTTGACAGTGCATTGAATATGAGTAGCACTGGTTGTGAAGACACCTTTCTTGGTTTTCCACGACTGTTCCAAATACCCAACATGTTCTGTCCATCACCATCACACATGTATACAACTCTGGGATATGTGAGAACTGCTATTCTTATTGCTTCCTTAGGAAGTAGATCCCTGATAATAATCGGGAACTATCCAGTGGAGGAAAGGATATGGAATTAGGCTTCAAGGCAGTTGTAGATGCCATGCCGGGGATTTGGAAATGTAGCAGAAACAGGAATGAACTGAACTAGGGGTGAGCTGTGGCATTTAACAAGCAGCTTTGGGCAGAAAGGAGCTTGAACTGCCACCAGGATTTGCATCCGATCAGAGGGCTGTGGCCGATGGAAACATTTGCTCCAGCTCTGCTGTCATTACAGCAGTTTCAATGATCTGAAGATAGAGCTTTAGTGCCCACAGCACATCTTACAAATTGTGATATTTATTGAAAGCATGATGGGCCCCAAAAGGAAGACTGCATTTCTCTGCCAAGCATCTGCACAGAGCTAGGCGGGGCAGGCTGGTACCTCCATACAGGTAGTAGGACAAAGAAGACGCATTGGCTTGGAGATCCCTTCACCTTGACCCAGCCTTGCTTCTAGGCAGCTGAGCAATAGTCATGCCCCTCACAGGTGCCCAGAGAGAGAGAAAAGAATTGCTGATGTTCTTTCTCCTCAGAGCATGGAAGGGAAGCATTTTGACTGTGGCAACAGACATCAGGATGTCACTCATAAAATTGCCACAGTCAAAATGGCTAGAATCTTAACTCTTGGACTATCTTCAACTCAGAAGATGACCAGTCTCCACCCTTTACATCCTGATCAATTGGTTCAGGCCAACTACGTCCTGGAACTCAGGGCTCAGATAAGCTAACCCCCTTTATTTCCCATCCCATAATACACATTCATCCCTAGCTTAGTGCGTGGGACACAGTGGGTTTACAGCAAATACTGTCCCTCTCCAAGGGCAGGACCACTAAAAAAAAAAAAAAAAATTACAGGCACGGGTAGCTGATGAATTCTTTCAACTCTAAGAGACGTTATTATATAATTAAACAGACTCAGAGCAGAGCTACAAAATGTTTCATGTTAGAGATTCCTTCCCAACCTTTGCCACCAGGAATTCTTACTAGGTAGCCACTGACACTCTGGAAGGGCTTAATCTTCTCCTTTTCTGTGCTCTGAAAATAATCTCTTCCTCCTTAGTGGCAGGAGAAGCCAAAGATAAGGACATCTCCTGGTTCTCCCCCAACGGGGAAAAGCTGAGCCCAAACCAGCAGCGGATCTCGGTGGTATGGAATGATGATGACTCCTCTACACTCACCATCTACAATGCCAATATCGACGATGCCGGCATTTACAAGTGTGTGGTCACTGGCGAGGATGGCACCCAGTCCGAGGCCACGGTCAACGTGAAGATCTTCCGTAAGAGCCTCATATGTACTCTCCACTCCCACCTTTCTTAGAAAGATACCTGGCTGGGTAGCAAAAGCAGAGAGAGGGCAACAGGAGGACCAGTAAGGGCCTGGGAGTTCGTTTTCTGTCTCTGAGTTGCTAAGAGTTCTGGTACACTCTCAAATGGTCCATGGTCAGTCCATGGTTTCCACCAGTCTCATGAGTCTACATTCCCACTGTCCTTCATTCTCTACAAACAACACAGTTCCTAGAGGGCTATCATGGATTCTTCCGTGACTTCTATGCGACAATGATAGACAAATGGTTCAGATTTTCTCTTCTTATCCACTACCTTTGCTGGTGATACAGTCCAATGACCTAGTGAGATGGAGTATTATATGTGAATACTTGATGCTGCTCAGAAAAAGTAGTTCCCATTGCCACTGAAAGCTGGCTTAACAGTGACATCTCATTGCCTTCTTACCATGCATAGTGTTGGCTCAAGTCAGGATAGGTGACAGCTAGTAGGTAGGTGTTGATTATCATAGCATTTATTGCCATTCAATGGGCCCTCATTCTTCAGAATTCTCTCTGCTGCAAGGAATTTGGGGTGGGGTCTGAGTGGAAGACCAAAAAAATAACCAATGACCTTCACTGTCCTTGTAGGATAGATGTGCCACTCATCACTGTACCTGTGTGCATCGTCACTACAGCAGGGAGCCCGTTCCCCTCTACAGACCCCTCTTAAAGCTAGCTGCTCTGCCTCTGTCAAAGACCCAGTGCTGAGCTGAACAGGAGCCCCTCCTCCACCACTGCATAATGGGTGGATACTGGGCTGGGATGGAAATCTAGGCAGCACAGTTCTAGTGAGAAGGTGTGGTTTCCTCACCCTGCTCCTCCTGCTGTTTTTCAGAGAAGCTCATGTTCAAGAACGCACCAACCCCACAGGAGTTCAAGGAAGGAGAAGATGCGGTGATTGTGTGTGATGTGGTCAGCTCTCTGCCCCCAACCATCATCTGGAAGCACAAAGGCCGAGACGTTATCCTGAAAAAAGATGGTAAGACCTGAGTTTCCATGAGTCATCGGGTACCCTAAATTTCCACCCCTACCCAGCCCCTGAGGCATTCCATCTAAATACAGATTCAGGGTCCCAGAACCCACATGCAATTTCTGGGTCCCAAACAGATGTATACCAGTAACTGGTGTGTTTGGGCATCTAGTTGTCTCTCCAAAGTAAAAGACACATCCCTAGTAGACTTGACCTCATATGTATTTCAGAGCCAGCAGTGACTTTTCTCATTTCAGCCTAAAACCCAACCCTGAAGATAAGAAAAAGGATGTGATAACCAGGTTGTGTCATGTGTCTGTAATCCCAGCATGCAGAAACTGATATGGAGAATGACTGCATGCTTGAGGCTAGCCTGGGCTACACAGTGAATGCCAGGCCAGAATGGACTACACTGTAAAACTCTGTCTCATAAAGAACAAAACACAGAACCAATGAAAGGCAAGAGCAAGAGGCTCAGTTGCTTGCTTGGATGACTGTGGAGTTCTCCGGCTGACCTTGATTGATCCTGCCTCTTGTCTCTTCCAGTCCGATTCATAGTCCTGTCCAACAACTACCTGCAGATCCGGGGCATCAAGAAGACAGATGAGGGCACTTACCGCTGTGAGGGCAGAATCCTGGCCCGGGGGGAGATCAACTTCAAGGACATTCAGGTCATTGTGAATGGTGAGGAGATCTGTCCTTCCTGTTCTCTCCATCACTACAACTAAGGTTCGCCAGTGACCTTCTCTCCCAGGTCCTCTTGGGTGTAGACCTGTTCTGACTCATTTCTGCATCTCAGCAGAATTTCCCCCCACTATCAGAACCTCTGAGAGGGGGACATTCTCGCATTAACACACTAGTTTTTGGTGTCTCCCCCCAATTGTAGATATTAAATGCCCTTCATTGTCTTGCGGGACTTCAAACTAATAAATCCCTCTTCATCCCCAGTGTCCTTGATGTTACCATCATTAGGAAGTTAGTCCCCTTGGTTTGATGGGCAGAGAAAATATTGCAATCAATTCAGATCTCAGAATAGTCAACATTATGGTCCGTGGGCTTATTAATCTTAATTTGCAGTGTCAAATAAACACACCCGTAGCATCGATCTGACATTTGCAAGATGTTTACAGGAAATTATAATGTCAGTACTAAGAAAATAAGTAAATCGCATTTGAATTGTTTTGGTTATTGATATGTGTTTTCTTGCCAAACTCTCCCCCTCTCATTCCTTCAGTGGAAACACTTTGTGCACAAGGGTGTTTATGACAGTTGCAGAGAAATGCCACTCTGCTGAGCTGGTGTCTTTTGGAAGCATACCAACCTGAAAACCACCAGGAACTGCATTTTCTAACTTTTGCCAGTATGGAGAGCCTCCTTTTAACATGGAGTCCCACCAGCCCTTGTAGTTATGTAGCATATATTGATTAAGAAAAAACACCATAGCAAATAGCCACTGTAAATCAAATACCACATGAACATGAGTTAAGAGGTAATATAGCAGCTGGACTCTTAAAACCAATAATGCACGTTTGTGGGCAAATTTTTGTTTGGTTTACATCAATTATTTAGAATGCCATTGAGTTTAGATCACTTACACTAATGCTGTGGCTATCCAGGTCTCTTACCCCCCAGGTGGTGACTAGGTGACTTGTTGGCCCCCAAATGCCTCTTCTCAGGGTCATCAGGTACTTTTAAGTTGTGTACAACTACCCCTGACATGCTTCTTTCCTTCAGTACCGCCCACTGTCCAGGCCAGACAGAGCATCGTGAATGCCACTGCTAACCTGGGCCAGTCCGTCACCCTGGTGTGCGATGCTGATGGGTTCCCAGAGCCTACCATGAGCTGGACAAAGTAAGAAACTGGCTTGTGCCTTGTGTCATGGGTGAGAGGAGAAGGGAACCCATAGAAGCCATTGTCTGTGGGTTTTTCAGTGGCATGAATATGGGCTTCCTAAAATATCAGGGTGAGGAATGGTTCTTTTCTGGGACGTTCTCTTGCTCTGTGTCTTTGATTATTGTTTCATTTTCAGTCTTGTGGGGGCAGGTCCAGAGGGTGTGGTGGAGCTGATTCCTTGAATCCTTTATGAGAGATATTGACAGTCTTTGCACAGGCTCCCAAGACTGGGGAGAAGCATAAAAAGCATGTAGCAGTAAATGCTGCTCAAAGGTCTTCTCCCTCTATGTAGACTGAAGCTGTCCCATCAGCACAGTCTGCAGCCTGTGGAAACTGATTGGGCAGAAACCTCTTAGCTCCATGCTCAGAGTCATCACCCTTTGCATTTCTGAACTGTATAGGGATGGGGAACCCATTGAAACCGAGGAGGAAGATGATGAGAAGCACATCTTCAATGATGACAGTTCTGAGCTGACTATCAGGAACGTGGACAAAAATGACGAGGCTGAGTATGTCTGCATTGCTGAGAACAAGGCTGGCGAGCAGGATGCGTCCATCCACCTCAAGGTCTTCGGTACGTGCAGCGCAGTGTGGGTCAGGGTCACTGTTCAGCCACACTTCCTCCTACTCTGCACACTCTAGCCATCAGAAAAGGCATGCCCACACTACTGCGGCAGGCATCCAAAAGGTGACCATTTGCTGCCTGCTCTGACACCTAAGCCCTAGTCCAGGAAACCATTGAATAACACACAGCCTTCTAGCTGGTGTCCTTGCTCCCCACCTTGGTGCCCCTCAATCTCTTCTACTCATGGTAACCAGAGGACCTCCATGCCAATCCTCTTTTCAAGATCCCTGTTGCTGCTGAAGTAAACTCCACACTAATCTCATGGCCCAGTATACCCTAACTTGTATTCTAGCCCCAGCTTTTCCTCCGTCTGCTCCATAGAGAAAGCTCTCCAACTACACCAGCCTCCTTTCTGTCTCTGCCTCACACCAAGCTAATTCCCTAACTTCAGGACATTGCTTTTGAGGCTATTCTGCTTGGAGTATCGTTGCCTAAGACAGACCTGCTCTGAGCGGCCTTCTTGTTATCATCAGGCAGACCTCAGCTCAGGCATGTTTTCCTGAATCCTTCCCTCACCTCATCTCTGCTGTTGCCTCTCCCCATCCAAGCTATCACCCTCCTGACCACCCTCAGGTCTCACTGTATCTTCTCCACTCACCTAACAAGTCCTGAACCAATCCTCTTGACATGTTTCTCTCCAGTCTCCATTAGCATTCAAAGTGTATTGGGAGCATGCTGGCTGTTTTATACATTGCTTTATCCCTGGTTCTCAAAACAGCTCCAGACTCACGATACCTTAGTAAATAGCAGTCCTTGACAGGTTGCCTCACCGTTTTCCCCCTCCTTTACTGGCCTGTGTGCCACTGTGTGTCATAGGAAGTCACAGAAAAAGCTTTCATCTCTCCATCTGCTTTGTTCTTATAAATTCGGCAACTTCCAGGCATTTCAGAATTGAAATGCGTTTTTGGCCTGCTTGTGGGAAAAAAAAAAAAAGGATTTGTTGCAAAGAAGGTCTCTGCTTCTCTGTCTAAAAAGCACAGATAAAATGCTGTACGGTAGACCGTGCTGGGGAACACCAGGCCAGAGAGGCCTCTCTGGTGCCTGTCCCTCCCATGGAGTTAAAATGTACACCTAGGAGCCAGTATTGGGACCTGCTTGCTTAGTTTGATGAAGAGATCTGTCTGTAAACATGCTGTTGAAAATCAGATGCTTTTATGCAGATGGCCCTGGTCATCACAGATGAGTCTTCTCTGTGTATTGATGACAACTGGGTCTACAAATAGGTAATGAAAAGGAACACAAAACGTCATGAAAAAAACATGCTTAGGTGTGTGCACACGTGTTTGCATATGTGTGTATGTGCAGCTGCACATAGATGTCCATGAGGATGGAACCAAAGGTCAACCTTGGGTGTCATTCCTCAGGTGCTGTCCACCTTTTGGGGAGATGGGGGTCTCATTAAGCTACTGCTTACTAAGTTAGCGAGGCTAGCTACCAGCAAGTTCCGGGGATCTGTCTGTCTTCATCTCCCCAAGGGCTGCAATTACAAATATGGCTGACTGTGCCAGGGTTTCTTTTATGTGGGTCTGAGGATCAGACTAAGATCCTCACCTTTGCAAAGCAGATACTTTACTGGCTGAGCTGTCTTCCCAGCCCATAAAAAAAATCATTCTTAATGTTGTTTTCTCTCTACTTCAGATTAATCTACCCCTCCAATCGTTCTGTTTTCTAGATTATAGAGAAGGGCAGGTGCATTTGTTAATTTATCCCTTCATTTAAGAAATATTGAGCACCTTTGCAGCTAGATAGAGTGGCTAGAGAGATAAGTGAAATTGGACTGTGAGAAACACAAAGATAGAGATAGACATATAAACATACAAAAGAGGATAGATAGTGTCAATCAGCACTATCCACTTGAGTGTTTACTGTGAGTCCGGTCATTGCCAAGTTTAAAATATAGTATCATGGAGTCTGTTCTCATCAGTAGATTCACAGGCACGTGGAGATGTCCAACACTGACATTTGAAATGACAGCCCCCTATAATGTCTCCATAGCAACAGCATGGTGGTGTTTTATAGGAAAGATTTCCTATCCTGTGTGGCATCAGTTAGTCATCAAAATGATGCACTACTTCATTTCGAATGGTGGGACAAGTGCCTCAGGCATTGTTTGGAAAGCACATGCTGAGCTGCTGGGGACAGGGACTCTGCCTGGCTGGCTTACACACATGCCTCCAGCGCCTAGGACAGTTGGCAGGAGCAGTTGAATAACTGAAAGAATAGCCATTAGTTCATGCGACTGATGCATGACCCATGTCATAGGGAGATGATCCTGGGATAAAGTTATCCTCTCTTGTTTCTGGGGAACCATTAAAGTAATAATAATAATAATAATAATAATAGTATCCAATACAGAAGTAGCATTTGTTCCATGACCTGCCAAATAACCACAAATTAGCCTTTGCAATCCTCACCACAGCCCTCTGAGGTAGACTCAATTATTGTTCCTATTTTACAAATGACACACAGAGTTCAGGTGCTCCTCATAAGGAACCATGATTCAAAGCAAAACAATGGCTTCTTGGTTCACACCCTGGGAAAGCAGTGATGGCTACATCTCCATGCAGTCAGTAGGCACCTATGCTAACTGCGTGCATAAGAAATGGAAGAAATGGATAGGAATATGAGAGACTGTGTGTTGTCCCTTGACCACAAAGCTGCTCATAGGTTCTCTAGATGCTTTCCACTTGCAAGTCCTTTTTACTGAGAAATTTTTAAACAGCCTTATTTTAAAACTGTGGTTTGGGTATACATATACTTTTCCACTTATTAAAAACCGAAAGCACATTTGCATACCAATGAGATGGGCATGCTTGTTTATTTAATAAAGAATTAAATCTTGGCTGAATATTTGATATTACAGAACATGGAATGTCTTCAGTGTTCTTCAGTGTTGCTTGATGTTTTTGTTTATAATCATCAAGGCTGAGAACACCACTTTGCATAAATACACAGTACAAAATGGCAGGAATTTGTTTAGGACCATTTCAGAAATTGTTGGAAATGCTGTCTCCAATTCCAAGCCAAAACTCATTGAATAATTTTTCTGTGAAACTCAAGTCAGCAACTCAAACAGCAATTTTTAAAATCGAGCATTCTATCCAAATCAAGCAATACTATCCAAAGATACACTAATTTGATACTTACATGCTGAGGAATGATGGTAGGAAAATATTTGAAGTCATTGTTTTCCATAATTAAGCCATTATGCTTCTGTAAGAGCAGAAAACTTTGCATGTGTAGTAAAAACACTACAATTCATAACATACAATAGTCTTGAAGCTGAGCCTGAGGCTTTGCAGCCAGTGCTTGTTGGTATTGTGTGATGGGAGGGCATGTACATGCTGAGCATTCAGAACCAAGACTGCAGTGAAGCCACACAATGCAACATGGGCAAACACTGCCAGAAGCAACTTAGATTCACTGTGCATTTGATTTTGAATTAATTTCTGGTCTTTTCCTGTCCAGAAACATTTTACTATTGCCAAATTTTATTATAACTTCTGCTTTGCAATTGTGTAATTTCATAGGGTCATAACCCAGCATTTAAGAAGCTGCTCTGTGGAACCTACTCAACTCTATCATGGATGACTGAGAACAGCTCTTGTTCCTCTTCCAGCCCCTTTTGGTGGCAATGATTGACTCAGGCAGGAAGGACAGGTAGCAAATGAGGAGTCTTGTGGGGCCATGGGAGAATGAACAAAATGGATAAGGCCAGGGGAAGTGGCAAGGAAAAGAGAAATTAGGATGGAGAAACAGGCAAGGCGGGATGTGTTTCCCCGGTCTTCATCCTAAATGAACACAATCATGCCTACATCCCTACACCCCTGAGCATCTGCATCTGCACACACACCACCACCATTTCTTTCCCAAGACTGTTAGAGTGTTCTCTAGACAGCACAGTGGGGCAAGCAGAGAGAGGTAGCTGAGCTCTTAGACAAGTCAGCAAGGAAATCATGGATCTGTAACAACTGTGTCGAATCCAGAATCAGCATCCTCCACAATGCTGCAAGGAGAGCTCCTTCAGCTCTCTTGAACTCCTATCTCTCTCCTTCTGCCTCTTAATCCCTCTTTCCCTCCTCCTTCTCTTGGTCTTCTTCATTGGTTGAAGCAACTAGCATGAGATCAAAGAGCCTGATGAAAAGGGACCAGCTGGTTAGAGCATCTTTCTTTGCTCTTAATCCTTTCCCTTCTAGATTGCTGCCATGGGTGATCCCTGAGGTAGATTGAGAAGGTTTGCTCTGCAGTAGCAAAGCTTAATGGTGTTGAAGGGGAAAGAGAACTACACCTTGGGTAGCAAAGAAGAGATCAAACCTCTGATGGCTTCAGAAAGGGTAGCACAGTATGTAAAGATTATGACTAAAGCAGAAACTGTTGTCATTGTAACTGAATGACACCCTATGATAGAGACCTGCTCTACTGTGTGTTGCCTTAGTTATCAGCCAAGGGCTCCTTTCCTTAAGTAGCTTTATTCTACGTTGGCTGTGAGGTTCCATCATTGTTCTCTGTGGGTCCTTCTGAAAAGCTATTTTTTGCCTCTGCTAGTGATCTGCTAATTATTTATGCCTATGCTAATGATTTTGATGTCTCCTGATGCCATGAGCTGATGCATGTTCAGTGGTAGCAGAAGCCTTGGTTACCTATCTCCTGTAACTAAAGCAGAACTTATGGGTGATAGCAAGAGACCACCTGGGACTGAAGGAGAAAATCTCAGGGCTCTCCTTGGACTGGACTCCCAGAAACTGCGGGCACAGGAGTGGGCATGGCTGTTGCTGAGTAGCAAAGTGCAGAGCAGTGGACTAGTATTCACAGGATAGTGAGAAGGGTGCTTTGAATGAGAAATGTTCCCCCATGGTCTCAGGCATTTGGACACTTGGTCCCAGTTGTTGGCACTGTTTTGGGGAAGTTTAGAAAGTATGGCTCTGCTGTCAGAAGTAAGTCACTGGGGGCAGGATTTAAGTGTATATCTCCTTACCATGCTTCCAGTTGGCTCTCTCTGCTTAGTTTAAAGATGTTTAAAGAGCTCAGCTTCTTGCTCCTGTTGCTCTGCCTAATGCTGACTGCTATGAGCTCACCATGAGGGACTCTATCCCTCTGGAAGTGTAAGCCAAAACCCACTCTTTCTTCTATAAATTGTCTTGGTCATGGTGTTTTATCACAGCCACCAAAAAGTAGCTTATACAAGGAGAGATGCAACCGTTGGAGGCACTAAGTCTCAGGGAGGCAGAGAGACAGCAGAAGAATGTTGTAAACTCTAGGAGCTCGTGCAGAACTCAAGCTGGAGCGAGGACCATGGGAAGATGAAACTTAGAGAGATCCCTCTTGGTGCTAGCACACAGAGGGAGGGAATCTTTTACAAGCAGAAGACACTCTGCATATGTCCCTGGTTGCCCAATAGTGTTTTCTGTCTCCATGAAATTATTTATAACATCCTTATTGTGTTTATTTTCTGTGGCTTAGATAGAATCCTCAGACCAAAACTTAAAGGAGAAAAGGGCTTATTTTGACTAACAGCTCCAAAGTTGATACAGTCCACCATGATTGGGAAGGCATGACATCAGAAGCCACGAGGCCAGTCTGGCAATCAGGAAGTAGAAGGATCAAATTTCATCCACACACAGGAAGTAGACAGGAAACAGGAAATGAGGTCAGGCTATAAAATCTCTGCCCCCAGTGATGTACTTCCTCCAGCAGAGCTCTACCTCTGAAAACTGCCATAACCTTCACAAACAGCGCCACCAGCAGGGGCCAAGTGTTCAAACATAAGAGTCTCTGGAGACATTTCATTAACCTCAACACCTGTGATGCTCTGCCTTCCTCTGGCAGCTGATAGAATCATAGATATCACCTGACCCTTCCTCTGTTACCCTTTCTCTGACAAGACAAAATGCTAAGGGCCAGAAGGTCCAAAACACTATCTAAATCTCAGACTCTTACAATGAAGTTTCCAGAAATTTGGCCATTGTATACCCAGCTAGCTCCAGCCCCCAAGTCACTGTTTAGAGAATCTGTGTGGGGTTTTTTTGTTTGTTTGGTTGGTTGGTTGGTTTTTCAAGACAGTGTTTCTCTGTGTAGCCCTGGCTGTCCTAGAACTGTCCCTGTAGACCAGGCTGGCGTCGACATCACAGAGAACCACCTGCCTCTGCCTCCCGAGTGCTGGGATTATCTGTTGTTCTCTTATGTCTACTGTCCCTTTTCCTTTTCGTTTGATCGCTTTGGTAGCCTAGAGATTCAACTCCTATTTCACCTGAATTTTGCTTTGCTTTATTTTACCCTCTAAAATTAGTTAGTATTTGATACCAGTAAACCCTCATTCCATATGATATAAGCTGTGACCTCCTGCAAGGCATCTTTACCAAGGTAAGACATAAAGTCTTCCTACAGAAAGCTACAGCCAGAACCCCTGGACTCCATCATCTCAACATCATTTGACCTTGCTGGGTTAACATTTGACTATGTACCAGCCATGAGAAAATAATTTGCTAAGTGTCCTGTTGGTGATGTTAAGAAGCCGTTTGAGCTATTCAGGTGATTTTTGTCTGGAAGCAGGCTCTTTGTCACTGATTTCAGTTTATTGAAGCTTCGTGGAGGACTTCCATATAGATCTTTTCAGTCCATATCTTTAGCTGACTTGCAGTTACTATGAAGTTGAATAGAAAAGAAATATAGTGATTTCAGAAGCCACCTGTCATTCTGGCTTTGTGTCTTTTTTACCCCGCCTTTCTCTCTAGTAGTGAAATAAGTTGTTTGCACAGCCTTATCTTTTCTCTTCTATGGAAGGTTCAGCAATTTCTGAGTATAATTGTTTTAAATTAGGAAAATTCAATTTTCTCTAATGTTTTCACACTTAACTCAGTTTTGGAAGATGTGTGTTCTTTGCATTCTCTCAAACATTTGGAAAATGAACTCAGCTCAGCTTCCCTCCTCCCTGTCCTCAGCCTACCCTGAAGCATGTGACCAAAGCTTCCAGACTGGCTTCTAACTCAAGGTTTTCTCCATTCTAGAATTCCCCCTAGATTGACCTTCTTGGGGTTCAGTGACCACTCCATGGCTCCAATGAAACTCCACCCATGAGCTTCTCTGGCTTATGGGTAAAATACTACCTGCTTTGTCCTCTTGTTCCATGAAACAGCCTCCTCCTCCCCTCCCTCCCTTCCTCCCTCCCTCCATCCCTCCCTACCTCTCCTTTTGCTCCTTATCTTTCCTTCAAGAATTTTTCTGAGCTTAGAATGAGTCCATTCCACCCACATTTGCACCTGCTGAAAATCCCATGGCCTGCCCCAAAGCCATCTGCATGTGAAGGCTAGAGCCAGTGTGGCAATGTGGCGCTCCTCTGCAGTGGCTTCAAGCGCCTATTGTCTGTATATTCCAGAGAAAGTTTCTCTGACTGTCATTTCAATGTTGCCAGAACCTTTGGAGGCTCAGTTCTGTGTCTCCTATTATACCTAGACTTGAGCCTTATGTTTAGTAAATAAGAAACCCTTTTAAATGAATACATGTTATCACTTAAACTCCAAGAGCAAAATAACCAGATAAATTCATGGAAATGTTTTTTTTTCTTTTCAGCAAAGCCCAAAATCACCTATGTAGAGAATCAGACGGCCATGGAACTAGAGGAACAAGTCACTCTTACCTGTGAAGCCTCAGGAGATCCCATCCCCTCCATCACCTGGAGAACTTCCACCCGAAACATCAGCAGTGAAGAAAAGGTACAATGTCACCCAAGAGTTTCAGGGCTATGGAATGCAGACTTGAAACATCTCAAGTCTACTCCAGGCCCAGTTCTCTTTGGCACGTGGCAAGATGGGAAGTGGTCACCGTGGTCACAGTAGGTCCTGCAACCTCCCTCCTCCAGCCTGCCTGGTTGTGATCTACTCAACATCCTCTCACAGTGGGATGGACTCTTTCCCTGTATGGATTGCCAGGGGCATATTGGTAGTGGGCTTGGTCACGTTAGATGGTTTGGGGAGGAGGCAATAGTGAATTTCTGATCCAGGCTTGTGGAGCTGTGAGGACCCAGGACAAGCAAGATTCTGGGGCATCAGATGATGTTGTCATCAGCTCAGACACACCCAGAAAAGTGTCTCCCAGAAACAATAGGGATCAGGATGAGTCTATTAATTCTCTTCCTCGCGTCTCATATACTCACGCTGTATGCACGCACTCTGTGCACAAAAGCTTGGTTGCCTTTGTGTCTGCCTGTATTCTTGGTCACATTTGGATTCCATTTTGTTCTAAAGGCAAAAATAATTAGCAGTTTCTAGATGATGGTATTTATACCTGGGTTCTGTAATATACTCACCAAAATTTAAGTATGTGGTAGTAACTCCCTGGCAAGTTAAATGACTGAGAACATTTAGCTTTAAGGTGCATGCATCTGTAGGCCATTGGAAAGCTTTCTTTATTACTGGTAATATATAAATATTGGCATGACCACCCCACATCATGTAGCCCATTGCTACTGAGTGGGCCAAAAAGACAAAAAGAATGGGTTAAGTTGCAGAGCAGTGTAGATATCTTTAGGAAAAGCAGCACGGTAGAACACATGGCCCTAAATTCATTCTGAAGCACTATACAAAGGAAAAAAATAATGGCTTTATGGCACCTCTCCAATATTATTTTGCATCTCCTGTAGTAATAGGCTTTGTTTTAGTTTGCCAAAGCTTGGTTACCTACTCAAGAGTAATAGCCATAGCCTTAAAGAGGATGTATAATGGATTGCCTATTGACCAGAATGTCAAAAATGATAGATATGCCCTCTTCTGCCAGGTTCAAAGAAATCTCTAGAAATAAACTGAAAGAAAGCCAAAGGGAGAATATTAAGTACCAGGGCTCAAAGTGGAATTTGCATTTGAGGAACCAATTTCTACTTCGGTGACAGAAAACAAAGCAAATTCTAAAGGAACAGAAAGCTCTATTTCAAATAGTCCATTCCTCGTTTTGCAAGTTTTGTACCCAGAGTTGAATCCAACTTAACAGAAACTCAACTGAGGAACTGCTAAATATTTTTGAAACTCGCATATGCTGTTTGATCTGCAAAAGCCAGCTAAATTAAGAAGTGAGGTGTTTACTTCAATAATTTCTTTATCGACACTGGAATTAAATTCCCAGCTAAGATTTCGGCTTCCTTTGTGTGTTACATGGACCCAATGTACATTTCAGGGCTTAATCCACATGGCCACTGCTTGGCCAGTCTTTCTATATTAGATTTCAAAGTAGATTTGTCCAAGTGACCTAGTATGTATCTCTGACCTACAGCGAAGGACAAAACATCTATTTCAGATGAATGACATTTTTAAGTTCTGTGTCTTTTCTAGAAATAGCTCAACAGTTAAACTGGACAAGAAAGATTATTAAGATTTGTGCCTACTTGGGGTTTGTCTTTAATAGGTTGGCACTTCTGGCTTGTACCTATGATTTCATTTTTATAAAATGATAATAAATAGCTAGGAACTAATATGCGCTCATATTCCCTAAATATTGAGACTGAAGATATCATGAAAAAACCATCTCAAACACATTGGGACTGATTTTTTTTTTATCAATTCAGTTTTCTCTATGGATCGTCTGTCTTGATCTGAGATAACTATTTAAGCCCAGCACAGTTTAGATCACAGTTTATTTTACTGTAGACTAGCTTCAGGTTTGCTTGAAGTGACATTCATGGAGCATGAGTCAGTCAATGTCAGAACAAGTCCACCAGAAAAGTTCACCATGCTACCACATCAATGTATTTGCTTAAATAATATCTTATATAAGAAAATTTTGCCACTTCTCTCATTAAATATTGACATCAAAGAATCATCGGTGCCAATCTGATACTATAAATGGCTAGTAATGATGAAACATGGTCTGCCAGTGAGCAGGCTGTATTCTAGTTCTAGTCATTTTCACAATGGCAACTACCCCTCGCATTCTATCCCACCTAAAGTTGCATTATATATAATTATGTATTGAGATGACCAGCACCACTGAATTCTAGGAGTGAAGAAAACCATTTCTAAAATTGGGATGCTCAGCTAAGCAGGTCACAAAGGTACCCGTTTAATCTAATGAGTGAAATAGATACCCCCCCTCAGCGTTAAGTCCCACAGAGCTGCAGGCTAAGAGATCATTTTGGAAGAGCCTTTTTGAGCTTTGTGAGTTCACCTGGCTCGCTTTCTAGCATCCTTTCCAGGTCACTCAGCCCCTATCTGACATGTTATGGTTACAGTATCACAAAGGGCTGTCTTCTTTCCCACTGCTCGGAACCCTCCACCTCCACCACTCAGAATCTGAGTCACTGGAACAGAAGCTGCAACTCTTCTTCCTTTAACAGACACCTAGAATTTTCCAGTTTCTCATAGGTCACGATTTCTATACCCTTCACCCTAATAGTTGTCCTATGACTTGATGGTTTCAGTTCACTAGCACTCAATAAAACCTTACCATCCCCCTGTAACCGGGACAGATCTCAGTGGGGTTATCATCTTGACCTAGACACATCATGTAGTCAAAGTAGCATTAGCCCCTGAGTCATGTCATATCATAGTCACCTAGAATATGTAGGTCTATAATATGAACTCCATTTAGGCAACTTATCTCCTGTTGCTTTCTCGTGAAGTTGTTTGCTTGAGCAACAGTACAGAATTTTGTGTGTATTTCACGTGTTGCAGCTTTGTTTCTCAGCCACAGTCACTTTGGCCATTTAGCAAGACTCTCCCTTCACTGGGACTGCTTTATGCATTGCAAGGTATCTACAATTTCTCACCACCCCCCAATACCAATAGCCAACTGTTATCATCACTAAAACTCTCCCTGCCTAGAAAACTACTACTTCAGACCATCTTTCAGTTGGGATTAACTGTTCATGGAGATTTTACTTAACAATTCTGGAAGTTGGAGTATTTCTGCTCAAATTGATCCCCTTATGCTGTATCTGCATGTTAAAAGTAATGACGTAGGGCAGTCAGTGGTGACCCTAGCAAGAAGCATAACATTAAAGTGAAGATAATTCAGCAGCTTTCCCAATGCAGCTGTCCTAACATTTGTGTTAGCATTGCTTCCAGACGATGTGAATCCTTATTCAAAATATCTGAGTCACTGCTGAAAATATTGACCGGGACAAGGCCTAAGCTCAGAGACCTCAGATTCCTTCTGAGTCAGTTGCTCAGAAAGTGACAGACTGGATGTCATGGTGAAACAGAGCTCTTCTGTAGTTCTAGTAACTTTTGTTGGAGGTTCACGTTCCTTTAGCAAGGGGTGTAAGTGGATTAAAGCAGCTTTGTCTTTCACGCCATTGATTGACTGTAACACTGCCCTTCTCATTGGAAGAGGAAGACAAGAATTTCACCTACAGACCTGTAGTGACTTGCTAATAGAATATTAGAATTGTCTTTCCTTATAAAAGGAAAGAAGGGATGAATTCAAAATGAATATAGTCATACCTTTGATTATGTCTCTGGACTGAGTCTCATTGTGGTTGGAGAAAGTCTCATCAATCCATTAAGCTTCAGCAAGTGGAGTTGGTTTAGGTTAGCAACTATTAATAGCTAAGATGAGTGTGATTGCTTGGATAATTGATATCCAAAAGTTGATGTATTTCTTAGCATTTATTGGTATCGTGAGAAAAAAAAAGGGGGAAGTAAGTATCATTGCGGGTTAGTTTTCACATGTGTGTGAAGGTGTTTGTGATACTTTCAAAGGTTATGCATCTGTGTCACATCAATCCTCATCCTATACAGACTCATCATAAATATTGCCAGGTGTTTGAGTGTCGCTAAATTCCAGGCACCATTTACATACTGAGTGAGACCCAGGGATTATTATCTATACACTCAATCCCTGGCATAAAAAAGACATCCATCATTTGCTATTTGAATGTTTCTGTGCCTTGAGATGACTCTAAAGAAGGGTGTATGAGTCCTTCAGTATTAAGGATAAAGAGGGGTGAGGAGCTGAGACCAGATCAGACGGAGTCCACAAATAAGAGAGACCTTTTGAAATTCTGAATTCTTTCGAAGCCCAACCTTTCTTTTCACTGGGGAGAATTCCTTATTGGATACAAGCTCAGTGCCCACTTTTAACCCTCAGGAAATGCTTTGCACAGAGTGATCAGAGCCTGACCTAAGATGTGGGCAAATGTGTATAGGGAATGCTTAATATGAGTGAAGAAGTGCTTCGCTTTAACCTACATGCATATAAACTACTAGAAATGTATATGGAGTAACAAAAGTAAGGATTGAAACAACCAAAAACTAACATTTGGAGCATATAACCATAGCCTAATTGTTTCCTGAGTATAGAGATTTGAATACAGATTGCCTTCAAGTGGGCCACACCTTTACCAAATTGTTGGAGCCAAGACAGACATTTGATACATTCTACCAGGCACAGAGGGAATAATCAGGCTACTAGAAACTTGTGTCCCTAGCAACAGCTTATTTATAAAGCCATAGAACACTAGTGGTTTGGAACAGAGACACTGAAGATTCCAATTTAAAAACAAATAACAATATATGCTATATCCCCATTTTAAAAAAAAAAAAAAAAAAAAAGAAAAGTCTTGACGACACAGCCCTGGCATGTGACAAACAAGCTTTCTAGCATTGTGGAATTGTCAAATACAGCTGACATGTTGACCCACTGTGACTTTGGTCTATGCATGTTCTCTGTTCTCACTTCCTCTTCATCCCAACATCATGTAATGTGACCCAACATCTCCATCCTCCTGTCTCACAAAAGCGCCTTGTATTTGATGAACTTACTGTTTGCTAACTCATTCACATTCCCTGTTTCTAGCATCTTTTGTGTCCTTTGCCATCTGAACATCAAGGACAGTCAGTCATGAATGCCACCCAATGAAAAAACCAATACTACTCAGATGTCTTTGACTCAGAGTTTGAAAACAGAGAAGTTAAGCAGAGTAGATTTCATGTGCTGCATAAATGAACAAATCTAGCCTTGAGCAGAAAGTTCCCCAAATCCTCTTGTGTGACTTTTCTCACTCTCTCATGAGTAGCAAGTTGGATGGGGAAGGTCCATGCTTCCATCCAAATGCCATCTGGGACCTTTCTAACTTTAAGCAATAGAGACCCGCTGTCACCACCCAGGATTTAGAACCCTCAACGCTTCCTGACCCATAGTCTCAAAGACTTCATGCTCACACACTCATTGTATCTCTGCTCCTTGCTTTGTCCCTTTTTGTAAATAATAACAATAACTTTTAATTAAATGCATGCTGAGTTGCAAAGTGCATGAGCATTAAATGGCTTTAGTGTATGTGTGATAATCTGTCTAAAACATTTAGAGGAAAATCTACTCTCTAAGAAGCCCTTGATTATTTGATAAGAATGGATAGTGCCCTCAAATATTTTGAAGACTGTTTAAGATGCTTTGTATAGGAGGAGTTGAATATGTCTGCTTGTATCCATATATATGCAGAATTCAATTCACCTTTGATTTTGACATTTTAAGGTGCATAAGATGATAAGATGGGGGGAGCTGAACTTCAGCTAACTTCTGAATTAAATTTGGGGGATAGTCATATAATTGAAAGTGGGCCTTGAAAAAATTTCTGAATTAAAAAGACACTGCATGTGCACGGAATGCAGTATGAGTTCTCTAAAGCAACATGTGACATTTTACTGCCTTTTTGTTGTGTTTTATATCTTGTTCTCTCCAGGCTTCGTGGACTCGACCAGAGAAGCAAGAGGTATAGCTTACTTGACCACTAGCCAGTTTCTAGCTCTGAAAGCCTTTCAGTTTAACTCACCATCACAGTTAATAACCAGACTCACTAACCTAGTGAGCACTTTAGTTAAAGCTTAGGTCCATAGCAGTAGATATCACCTAGCAATAGTGTCATCTTCTAGGATGAGCAAGCAAGCTGTGTTGGGAGTGGAGGAACAAACCCTTATGATTTTTTTAAAACAGGACTTTATTCTCTTACTGGTGCTGGTAAAATCATACCCAGGTAATTGTGCTGATAGAAATAAATTGCCCCAATTCCCAAGCCAGGCATTTTGAAAGAATAAAAAATTTTTAAAAAATTGAACTCTCCTCTGGTGGCTGTGGCTCTGGACCATAAAGTCACAGAGTGAGTGATCTAAAACCCACTCAGCCCTTTCCTTTCCAGCTCAACTCATCTTGTTGCTCACTTATTTGATAATGACTGGCCTTGGTAAATGATCACATTGCATTTCCTGTCAAAAGCCACGCCAATGGCATCTTTCACTGGTTTCCCCAAACGGTTCAACGTATCTGTTATCTTTAGGGAGCATTAAACTTGTAAGACTGGAGTGATTTGGCACAGATGGGTTTATGTTTGTAAAGTCAGTAGCATTTAGCCTTTGGAACTCCCCTGCCTATTTGCTTCATTTTAGGAGACATGGGGCTGGGTTTGCAAACTGAAGCTAAGCATTAACCTTTCTATCTCATTGCTGTCCTTGAAGACCCTTCATATAATCATGCTCACCAGTTTTTACCTGGTTCGTGTAACTATAAGTGACCAACTGGAACATAACCACCAGTTGGCCTGGGACTAGGGAGATAGAGCTGTGTCAGGAACGTGATTGCCACATGAGCCCAAGGACCTGGTATTGATCTTCAGCACTCATATTAGAAGTGAAGCATTGTGTTTTGTGCTTATAATCTCAGCAATGGGGAGAGACACACACATGGATCGATGGGGCTCATTGGCCAGCTAATCAAGCCTAATCAGTGAGCCCCAGATCCCAGTGAGAGACTCTTTCTTGAAAAACAAGGTAGATGGTTCCTGAAGAATGACACTTGGGTTTGACTAGCTTCCACCTAGACATACATATGTGTGATGCACACACATGCACAAATACAGATACCACACACACACACACACACACACACACACACACACACACACGCACACACACACGGCACACACATGGATCAACTGCCTTTAGATGAGATTCAAAAATCTAATTTGTGAATGCTTCCTATTACATTCCATTTTGTGTCTTTCTCCAAATCTAGTAGTACAATAGGCTCTATATTTCAATTCACTGAGAGTATCTTCTTAGTCTTTCTGGGTGATAACCATTCAGAACACATAACTCCTGTGTTCAGGTCATAACTATAAATATTGAATGCTGCTTAATATTTAAAAGTTGTCCACCTGTCCCCTGGCAGGGACATTCATGTCTGCACCTGAGCAGTCTACCATTGTCAAATCTAGTTCATCTTTATAATGTGCCTTCCTTGATGACATGACATAGGGACTGTAGCAGGTCCCCACTGAAATGCTTCCCTCCTGTGTCTTTGAGATCACTTAGTGTTGTCGTAGGCTGGATGTTTTATTGCCCCAAAACTATGACCTCATTGGCATTGGGAAGGGAGAGAGGAGGGGTTAACGATGGGGCCGACTCCCGACTTCCACAGCTGCAGGGCTCATTCCGCTTTGCTGTGTGTTTCTTCCCCTGTCATTCTGATCAGGACCTGGCTTGAGGAGTCACTGAGATTTATCAGGGAGCATTAAGGAGATTTTAAATGGATAATCATTGTAAGTGGAAATAATAGGTTTACTCCCAGGAAAGCACACACCCCAACTCCATTTTCCAGAAGTGTCTTTTATCTTGAATGTTTCACTTTGGACATAATTGACTTTCAAGTGAATGCTGCCCATTGGGGCTCAGACATTCCATTTTATCCTGTTGGACTCATTCAGAGATGAAGACCATGGGCCAGATGAGTGTAAAGACTGCCTTGTGTTGTGGCCAGGTTCTTTCTGGGTGCTCTAAGTCCAAACGCTTTCATCTGGGAAAAGGGAGAACTGGTTTGCTGAGAATAATTAGAGTCACAAATATTGTTTTAAGGAGAGAGAAAGGTCTCGCTGTAGTATTCTTGTTTCACTCTTACCTGAGCTCACTGTTTCCTCTGAGAGAGCCAGAGCGATTAGCAAGACTTTTGGTTGGAGTGTCTTATGGTTGTGTTCCTGTGCCAGAAGAAATTATTTCAGGATGAGATAACCCAATCCCACTGGAGTCTATCGGTGTATCCTCCAAGGGATGACTGGACATCTGGTGAGGAATCCCATCATCAAACTTGCAGTGAGCCACTACACGATAAGAAATCCCTGTAGAGGATTCCTTACTGGTGTGATGACATCATTAAATGACAGAAGCCTCCAACCCTTGTAGAAATGTAGGCAGGGAGACCAGATTTTAAAAATAAGTTTAAAAAAATGTGTACAGCTTTTTCCGGGAGCTTGTCTTCAGACATTTATGAGCAAATGTGCATTCCTTGCTTTTGTGCTAATGCTCTTACCTGAGGGACTCACCTTGCCTCCTTTCCACATGGTCATGTGCTCCTGGATTCCTGAGAATAACATATATGGCAGGCCCTGTACAAGCCTGATCTGGGTCACAAATCATCACAGTTCATCCCACAGCTGACAAGACCATGTGTGGACCTTCAGTCCCTTCTCCCCTCAATTACATTGTGCTTTAGGCAAAGAGGAATGACAGGCGAATCAGGCCAGCTTTTGAGAGATACCTGCAAGAATGACTTCATGCTCTCAGTGTCCCTGATATAGACTGATGGATGAAGATTTTGTTTGACATGTAAAAAGACACTAAGATGGACCACTGTCAGCCTACAAGAAACAGAGTCCTGGGATCTAGCATTTCCAATAAACTGGGTGTCTCTAGGCTCTCTGAGACAGTCTCCTGTCACCTCTCATTAATGTGTATCATCTCGTAGGATGCAGCTTCTTGACCAACAAGCCTCCCCTATTTCCAGGTCAAATAGGAACACCAGGGCATCCATCTCTAAGAGAAGGAGATGTACAATGCCATAGGCACAGATGATTTTCCTTGTTCTTTCCTTCCCTTGTTGGAAGCATGTTTTAGCTCCCAGATATAACTCAGATAACAAAAGTGGACCTGATCACTGATGGTAAAGGGACTTTGTGCCATAGATCTGCTAAAAGTGCTGTACAAGGCCAGCAAGACCTTTTTGCCAACTTCCTGGACTGACTGATAAAGGACATTGCAATTCTCCCCCTCCCCCTAGCTTACAACCCAGCATATTGATAGAAACTGAGGTTATGTGTCATTTAATTCTCTGAAGACCAACCCGGATGCTTGGCAGATGCTTGGCACACCCTCTCATCCATCTCTACTGAGAATCTTGTGCTGGACTTAATGGGGTGTCCCAGCTTACACAGAATAGGGCCCTTCTTCAGTTTACCAGTTCTCAGGGGACTCTGGTCCAGGGGCACATGCCTAGACCCTTCGAGGGCTAGTACCCCTTTTGCTTAGAATGTCAAGGAGGGAACTCTTGCAAATATCCCGATACCCATTGCCTAGAGATTGTGTGCTCATTCATTTTTTAGCAGTCCTTGTGAGTCTAGGGACTCAGTAAACTAATGGTAGCATCAAAGACTAGGGACGGTTGTAGACTTTGGTACAAAGGATCCTGGGTGAGTCTGTGACTCTTATTTGCACTATGTTTCAAGAGAAGGTTCTGTTACTTTCAGCTCAGCAGTGCCTGAGCTTTGACTTGTCTCCCCAATAAGAATGAAGATTGTCAAGCATCCAGGAAAGAGACACATCTACAGGAAGGATGTTTCTTGCATAACTCCTTACATTTGGGTCATTGGCATTTTCTAGCCAATTCACACACCGTGAAACTGGGTTTGGGGAGTCAGACTAGAAGGAAAGAACAGGGGATAGTGCGAGTTCCTTGGGATCTCAATTTGTACTACCCAAGCCTTTTGCTTCCATTTTAATACATCCCAAACTAGTCTTGGGTGACCTCACTATGCCCCAAATCGATCAAGTCCCATTTGCTGTTGGAACTATGTTGAAGTTCCCACACTCTCCCCCATTATGAAGTAGGTGAAGTGAAATTAGAGGTTGACATAGAGAGAAGACTAGACACTGGTCACAGACCAGCAAAGACCCTTGTCTCCTAGACCCACACTGCTCTAATTGCCCCTGCCCTCTGCCTCACCTCAGACTCTGATGCCATTCCTTTCCTCCCGGCAGACTCTGGATGGGCACATGGTGGTACGCAGCCATGCTCGTGTGTCCTCTCTGACCCTGAAGAGCATCCAGTACACAGATGCTGGAGAGTACATCTGCACTGCCAGCAACACCATCGGCCAGGACTCCCAGTCCATGTACCTTGAAGTTCAATGTAAGGAGTGACTAGGGAAGGAGTGGAGGCGGGGAGCAGTGAAGGATCAGGATGCTGGAGACAGATTAGCTTCAGCTTCTCTAGCAAGTTCCACCTGGTTCATTCCCTGAGGCTGTTGGTCCTCAACTGTTTCAGAGCTGTGGCCCCAAGTACAGGCACACGCACACGCACACACACACACACACACACACACACACACGCACACACACACACACACACGCACACACACACGCACACGCACACACACACGCACACACACACGCACACGCACACACACACGCACACACACACACACACACACACGCACACGCACACGCACATGCACTCACCACTATCCCCAAGCATCTCAGTAGCTACCCATGCTCTGAGTTTTCTCAAGCAGAACATGTACACATGAATTCCAAAATGTCCCAGAGCTCTACTGGTCCAGGAACCCACTCTGCTTTGGGTCATGCCTACCTTCCCAGTGCCAGAAGACAGTCTGTGGGTGTTCCAAGAAAGTGGTTGCTGTTCTGATGGTCATTGTCATTCATTGCAGATGCCCCCAAGCTCCAGGGCCCTGTGGCTGTATACACTTGGGAAGGGAACCAGGTGAACATCACCTGTGAGGTCTTTGCCTACCCAAGTGCCACAATCTCCTGGTTCCGAGATGGTCAGTTGCTGCCAAGCTCCAACTACAGCAATATCAAGATCTACAACACCCCGTCTGCTAGCTACCTGGAGGTGAATTAGGGCGTGGGAAAGGGCAGGGTGGAACAGGCCCTGTGACAATGGGGCCATCACTTCTCCTGCTTCCCTGGCACATCCTGAACTGGGGAACATTGGATGGAGAAGAAACTGAGCCTCCTCTAGGTCCCCATCCTCAGCTTCACTGGTCCTGACCATGTGGCTAGGCTGGGACTGGGAAGTGGAATGTGCCTCTTCTGTGAGCCACTGGGTTCTTTTCACTGGGATTGATAATGTGTATATCACCAGATTTATTCTTTACTTACTGTATCTAATAAATAAATACAAATGTGGTCATCCATGAGACATTTGTAACCCCTGGGGTCCTTCCTTCTGTAGGTAACCCCTGACTCCGAGAATGACTTTGGAAACTACAATTGTACGGCAGTGAACCGCATTGGGCAGGAGTCCTTGGAATTCATCCTTGTTCAAGCAGGTGAGTGCCTTCATCGTAACTTCCACACCATCCTTGACCTAGCTGGCCCGTATCATACACTTTAAGGACACCAGTGAAGGGGCAGAAGACAGATCCAGGCTCTGAAAAGCCAGATGGTCAAGAAGCAGTAAGCCACTCAACATGTGAGACTCTAACTACAGGATGGGTTGAGGAGAATCTGAAGTCAGCTAGGAAAGTGGTATCTCCAAAATCAGAGATTCTTAGTCTTAGAAAGGATCCCCAAGAGGGATCAGAAGCATGGGACGTATTTCCAAGTGTAGTCTTGGGCCACACACGTGACCTGGGTGTCCATATGTGTTCTCACAGACACACCGTCTTCTCCATCCATCGACCGGGTAGAACCCTACTCCAGCACAGCACAGGTGCAGTTTGACGAGCCAGAGGCCACAGGTGGAGTGCCCATCCTCAAATACAAGGCTGAGTGGAAGTCACTGGGGGAAGAAGCGTGGCATTTCAAGTGGTACGATGCCAAAGAAGGTGAGTCTGGTACACACCCTTGAATTCACCTGACCTTTGCTGACCGTGTAGGTAAGGGATGTGCAGGATGTCACTGTTTGCCATTCCATCCAGTTTCCTCCAGAATTAGGAACTCTCCAGCTAGAGTTAGATTAGGGCGATGTTTCCATAGAGTTGTTGACCTTCTGTCCCTTGCTGCTTCTGACCTCATGACCTCACCAGGACAGGCAGAACCAGTCAGATGCTTCCTGGACAGAAGATGTAATTAGCTGCTGAGCTTAATGGGAAAAGTAAGTGCAGAGCACCCCTGCTCTGTTCTCGGCTCCTTCCCTGATGACACCTGGCCAGCCCTGCCTGGTGTCTGTACCCAGGGACTGTCATGTACTGATGACAGTACCCAGGCCAGCAAGATGACAGATCTACCCTGAATCAATCCTGTTTTATCTTCCAAGTTAAATCAATCCAGTGATGTCTTTCAAGATTAAATCTGATCTCTGTCTCTGTCTCTGTCTTTCTTTAATTCTCTCCCTCCCTCTCTCTCTCTCTCTCTCTCTCTCTCTCTCTCTCTCTCTCTCTCTCTCTCTCGGGTGGAGTCAGCATCAAGTATTCTTCCAAGATCATTCTCCACCTTTATTTTTTTTTTTGACCCTAAAACTTAAATTCAGTTAGGCCAGCTGACCAGTGAGCTTCAGTGACCTGTTGTCTATCTGTCTCTAGCCCCCCCAGTGCTGGGGCTACAGCATGTACCTCCCTCCCCAACTTTTACATGACTTCTGGGATTTGAACTCAGGCCTTCAGGCCTTCATGTATGGACAACACACACTTCACACTAAGACATCTCCCCAGCCCCCTCTCTTAAAATATCGCTTCTACTTATATTTTAATTACGGTAAAATCCACATGAATTTTGCATTGAGTCATTTTTAAGTATAGAAGTGAGTAGCATTGAGTCACAACCATCACTTCTGTCCATTTTCAGAACATTTCCACGTTCTAATTCCTTTCTCCACCTCCTTCTGGCCCCTGGTAACCACCATTCTACTGTCTTTCTCTAGCTGATTACCCTAGGGACCTCATGGGAGTACCTCATATGCCATTTGTCCCTTTGTGTCCACTTATTTATTAACAAAATGTTCTCACGGTTCCTCCACATTGTAGCACGTGTCAACATTTCATCTGTAAGACGGGGTAGATACCCCATTGTTGGTCCTCCCTGCATTTCATTGACCCGTTCAACTGTGATGATAAGTCATCAAGGCTGCTTGTGACTTTGGACTCTTGGTAATACTGCAGGTGTGAGCATGAGTCCACAGGGATCTGTTTGTCTCCTGCTTTCAATTTTTTCTACATGTTTGCCAAACAATGGTTGTGTTTAATTCTGTGGAGACCTACCATCCTGTTTTCCACAGCACTGTTTTCCCTGTACACAGCCATTCTCTTTTAATCTGCCCCATATTCTCACCACAGCCAACATGGAAGGCATTGTCACCATCATGGGCCTGAAGCCTGAGACAAGGTACGCAGTACGACTGGCGGCCCTCAACGGCAAGGGGCTGGGCGAGATCAGTGCAGCCGCGGAGTTCAAGACACAGCCAGTCCGTAAGTACAGCCGACTTCTCTGTCTCTTCTCCACAATCACCCTCTCTCTTCCTTCTCTTCAGGGATAGACAGGGACCCTGAGTTGTCCCCATCATAGCTCAGAAGATAGCTTTTATCCTTTGGGTCCCCATATTTATAGTGGCCCACTTAGCTGGTTCTCAGGGATGGCTAATCTGCACTCCTTTCATCCCCCAAATGGGTGGAAGACACTGTTCTCATGGGTGGCCTAGTTTATTAGGATAGCAGCCAGGGGCCACCACTGGTCAACTACGATGAAGAGTTGAGGGAAACAAACAGGGCATATGGAGGGAGTTGAGAGAGTTGCTTTTGGAGCCAGGCCACCGAAGCCCCTAAGCACTCTGGAGCTTGAAGGAAGATAATAGAGACAGTGACTACTCATGTCATTTGAACTGGGACTTTTCATGCACTAACAATAGAGAGGGAAAACATAGAAGAGTCTCCTCTATGAAGAGGAAGATAGCCCTGCCATCCCAAAGGGGCCCTGGACTGACCTGATTCTTCCTTTCCAAGATGACTCCTCAGACCATCTGTGCCTCAAGGACTCTTTCAGGCAAGCGGCTTTCCCCAGGTTCCACTCAGGGCTGCCTCTAGCTTCTCTCTGCCATTCCCTCCATCCCTAAACCACGCTTGCCCAGCTTAGCCTTCGCTTCCCACAGCAACCAAGCTCTGGACAAGCCTGGCCATATTCCTCTGCCGTCCACATTGCTGCTCCCCCCCCCCCACACACCCCAGGATCCTGGGTCCCTCCAGCTCAAGAAGATGCTGTAGAAGTGGTCTCCTGGGTGACCATGGAGCTCCAGACTCCCTGAATCTCTGATTTAATCCACACATGAGAACCCTTTGCCTCTCTTTCTGAGAAGCCTGGGAGCCTACAGACAGACCCCCTTCACCTCTCCCCAGCGATAGCAGGGCCGCTCTCCTCCTCCTCCTGCAGCGAGTGTTTCTTCCTGTTTAAAGTAATTTGATAATTTGAGTTTCAGCTCCATGTGCTCTGTGGATTCTGTTCATTTCTTTTACATCTTATTTTTTTTCCCCCGGGTCTGTCTCTTGGCTTTTCTTTTCGTCTGTGTTCCATCCATGGGAAATGCAGATAGCCCTCCTCCACGTAAGTGCCTCTTCATACCTCATTACCTGTTTCCATAGTGTTAACATCTAGTCCTAGTTCATAATTTAGTTCTGGCCCCTTTTTTTTGTCCCCTAGAGGCTGAAGTAGATGATGTCGTCTGAGCCCTAACCACACTGACCTTAGTTTAGCTGTGCCTTTGTTAACGTATATAGGTTACTCCAAGAGGCTAACACTACTGTTCTAGAGCATGCAACTTCCATGTGTTTTGAAATTGTGCTTATGTATTAATTCTTGTGTGTAGTCATTACTTGGTGGAAAAGATCAGCTTTGCCGAACCGAGCATGGTAGAAATCTGCAGATGGTCTCTGAGTAATGAGCTAATAGCAGCTCCTCGCTTTTAGCCCTGGGACCCGAGGTGTGACACCTGACTCATGAGGACACTGTTCCAAAGTGCCAAAAATAATCTTCCTGTTTGCTTTTAGGAAGTAAAGGAGCGGAGCCCGCATGCTTCCTGGCTTATCTGTTAGTTGGTAGAGGAGGAGGAGCAGAGCCTACTGTGGGAATCCCTTGTTGAGTTGGCATACAGATAGATGTTAGTATACACTGTATCCTACAGGCAGCTCCCTGTAGTCGGGGTGGGGAGGGGACTAAGCCCTAGGTTCTTGTCAGCTCTCTTTATTTGCACTGGATTACTTACGGTGTACATTTCCATGTTGGGAACAGACTGGCCAGTTAACTTAGTAACTACCCAGTATAGTGTGGAGAGAGGGAGAGATTTCCCCATGGAAGTGACACCCTGATGATGCAAACTGGCAATATAGGACACTGAGAACAAGGGAAACAAAAGAATTGGCCTGACCCCCTCAGCCTGCTGAGACACCCACCTCCCAATGTCACTTTGCCAAGGCTGGGCGCTCTCTTCCTACGCTGAGTTCCTAGAGAACAGAGAGAGGACGTACCTGACAGACGTGGAAGGAAAGATGTTCAGGAAGCTGTATGCAATTCGTAGAAAGCTGCTAGGTCCTGAAAGGCACCCCAGGAAACTTATATTTATAAAATGTATTCCGAAATATTGCATCAACAGCAAAAACCAAGTAGCTGAGTGTGGATGTCAGGCCATCAGCCAAGTTGGTGTCTGGATGCGTCAGCTAGGGAAGGCATGAGAATCAGGGTCTGTGGGAGTGAGGGGTGCAGGTAGGGGGAGCAGTCAGGTAGGACTGACAGCTATGCCCCAGGGGAACTCTGAAGAGAAAGCTCTTCCTTCTGGATCCTTCCAGCAATCCTTAGCTGCTTCCTCCAGGCCCTTTTCTACTGAAAGTGATCAGTGAGTGAGGACCAGCTCCACTAGGTTAGAGAGAGGGAGGCCTGGATGAGTCTTGCTGTTGACTGTTCCCCCCCGCCCCCCGTGACTACAACTGACTCAGAGGACCTGGTCTTGGCCCTTGAGGTCACAGTAGTTCCCTCTCATTGCCAGCTTGGCCCTTATGAAGATAGGATTGTTGGGGGGTTGAGTTTGCTTCTTAATACAGCAGAAGGTATGTTTCAAGTCAAGTTAAAAATTATGTGTTTAATTAAATTTTTTAATTTTAGTTTTAGTTGTTAATTTCTTAATTTCTAAGGGAAGGAAGCCCCCAGACTTGGTATTTTGTTGTCGGTAGTGTGAAAGTGGGTGATTAATGGAGACCCTGAGAGTCCTCTAGAGAAGGCTGTGGCACAGCAGCCATTAGCACAAAAGTCAGCTTTCTCAATCATATAATAAAGGTATGGTTTAAAGAATCAATAAGCACCAGGCCTTAATAAGCATAATCCTGACCTCAGCTTTTTGGGAGGCTTAGGCAAGAGGACCATAAGTTCAAGGCCAGCCTGGGCTCCAGACTGAGTCCCAGGCTACCCTGGGTAACTTAGCGAGTCCCTGTCACAAGACAAAATGGAAAGAGAAAGGACTGGTGACCTATCTCAGCAGTGGAACATGTGTCTAGCCTGTGCAAGACCAGAGATTCAACCCTGCATACAGGCAGGAATGGATGAAGGGAAGAAACAAGAAAGAAGGGAAGGAGGCAGGGTTGAGAAGAAAGGGTTAAAAGGCAACCTTGTTCTTGACCAGCACAAGTGAAGTGCAGTCGTAGAAGCGTGTGAGACTATCAGCATGGTGGTCTGGTAAACATGGGAACTGCACACTTTCTGAAGAAACCTCAGCGGGGCCTTTCCTTGCAACCTCGTAAGCCTCCCCAAGTCACTGAAGTGCAGGTCTGGCCCAGGAGTATCCGGGCCAGTGTTAGCGGCCAGACCCCTCAGTTGGGAGGTGTTAGTTGAGACCAGCGTTTGGTCTTAACTAACCGTTGAAGTTCACTGAGGTGTTTCAGTAATAGAGTTGCTCTCTTGGCTCCTTAGGAAACCTCTGCACAGTCAGGGGCATAGGTTTATCAGAGGCAGGGATGAGCAGGCAAAACAAGCAAAAGCCACATGCGTGTAGAGGACTGAGGCCTCCCAGCTGCTAGCTGAAGCATGATTTAGCTGTTTGAGGGTCCTCTGTGTACAGTGCATGGAGGTGATAAGGGAGCTGTGATGCTAAACAAACTAAGCTCTAACCGGGGGAATGTTCTGTTGCATGTGTTTTCGACTCTGGCCCCTTGGCCATTAAGCTTGTGATCTGCGTTCCTCGGGAGGGGCTGCTGCCCTGCCAGAACTGTTGGCCTGAATCTTTTTGCTCCGTCACTGAACTTTTTCCTCTGTCACGTGTAGAATCTCGTGGCCTGGATAGTACTTTGGATTTTGCATTTGTGCCAAGAAACGAAATACAGTATTTCGAGATGTAGAAGTTGCACATTTTAAAAGAGATGTCTTGAGATTTTTACCTTGATATGTTGTCCCCTCTGTGACACATGCGAGGACATCTAAATGCATTACAATTCGTGTGATTAAGATGCATAAGATATCAGGCCTTTCCCAAATATTATGAACAGTTACACAAACATCTTAACACACACACACACACACACACACACACACACACACACACACACACACACACACAGTGTGAGAGAGACTTTCACCTTAATTAACTGAGCCATCTATTCATGAAAGTTTAGTAACCAAACTGCTATGACTTCAGGGACATTGACTCTGGGCTTCATCAGACACCTGGAAGGTCCTGGAAAACCAAGCCCTGAGCATTGATTCAGAACTGCCCATACGCTGGTGCTTTTCCATTTTACCACAGAGCTCTCCAAGGAGACTGTGTTTGTTATTGCTGAAGGACAACTTCTGGTTATTTGTCCATCAAACACCAAAGATCCATTCAGTGTCCCAGTGTGGCAGATGGACAGTCTCCACCCATCCTCCATCCTCCATGGTGAAGGGTAGTTAGGGTTGTATGTGAGGACGCTGCATCTTTAACATTCCCTTTCTCTGGGGGAGCAGGAATGACACTGAATGTTATTTGTCTTACTCTTCGCCAGCAGTGTAAACAATCATGTTCTCTAGGGAGGATTTTTGGAAAGCAGCCATGTTTCCAGAGGCTTCTATATGAAAACTGGCTGTATCCAGCCACTGAAGATGGCCAATTCTGTCTCACTCAGTTACTGAAGTTAAAGAGTGAGATGTATAGGTTTTGCTATGTGTATCAGGTATCAGGTGGGGAAGGTGCTTAGTCAGTAAAGTACTTGTTGTACAAGAGTAAGGCCCTGAATTTGATCCCCAGCACTGACTTAAAAAAGCCAGGTACAGCATCGTGTGCCCGCCATCCCAGGGGAATGTAGAGACAACAGGATTTCTGGGACTCGCTGCCTAGCCAGTCAGCTTAGCGGAATCAGTGAGCTCTAAGTTCAGTAAGAGACCCCATCCTAAAAAAAATAAGGTGGCTGAGGGCAGAAAAGATAGCTCACTGGCTGTGAGCATGCACTACCCTTGCAGGGGACAGGGTTAAGTTCCCAGTGTCCATGTCAGACAGCTCACAAGCACCCCTAACTCCAGCTGTAGAGGATCTGATGCTCTCTTTTGGTCTCCTCAGTCACCTACACTCATGTGCACACACATATACATCTACAAACAGACATACACATATACATTTAATTAAAAATAAAATATTTTTTTAAAATAAAGTGGAAAGCAATTGAGGAAGACACTCAACAACCTCTGGCCTCGATATGCACACACATGGGTGTGGATAAGCATACATTAACACAAACATGTACATACACACAAAAGATATGTAGTACACATAGATACATGCCTATATATATACACCTATCTAGACTGTGACATGAAAAGCCAGTCTTTCCTTACTCAAGTTCCCATTAAGCTGAGGCTCAAGTGCCTGCCCCCTCCTGTCCCTCAGAGCTTATGGGCACAGGTAATCCTGCCCAAGTGGCTGTTTGTGTTCAGCCAAGGTTGGAGGCCTCTTCAGCTGCTCCTGGCCAATTCCTTACCTGCATGACAGATTGAACAGGGTCTTGGGTCATGGTCTGTACTTAAAATAGAGACCTGCATGCTTTCCAATAATGTGTCAGCCACCTGTTCCGTGCACAGTTTTTCTCTTTCCAACTTTACTTCGCATCTGCTCCTCATACCAGCACCCCAGGATCCCTAGTCCTGGTTTTTGTTTGCTTGGTCTTTTTTGTTTTTTGTTTTTGTTTTTGTTTTTTCGGTTCAGCATCTGTATGCCTCCAGTGATCTATTTTTCCTTTTGGTTCACCATCATTTTTCTTTCTCCAGTGGCTCCTGCTAACGCTTCCACCCTTGTTCCATTGTCTTCACAAGCTAGTGAGTATTGCTTTCTTCACCCATGTCCCTTCAGGTGGCTTCACACCCACCAGGCTCATCTGCCTGAGGTTATCTGCTTCCCTGGGCGATGATGCAGCACTCTGGTTTAATCAGGTTTTAAAAGAAGCCAAGGGAAAGAGAACTAGGCCCAGGGCCTCTCAGGGCAGACCAGACAAGAACTTTGCTCTTCATGGGAGGCCCTGCAGACAGCTGCCCTGGGACTGCTTTGGTGGCCATATACTTGTGATGCTATTCCCAGCAGGCCAGACCAAAGCCGA